CATCCATAAAAACAACATTGATAATTCGGAAATTAGCTATCATGGCAGCTGTCTAAGATAATACATACCTTGATAATCAAAAATGAATTGCTCAAAAAATAATTTATAACCCTTGTCCAATTTTGATCGCCTCACATCTCCCTAAAAACTATCAACAAAACGGACAACATCTGCTATTCTTATTGTTGGCAAATTTATTAATGATTACTTACTATCATGCAAGTGTGCAAAGAGGTGGCTTCGGACACAGACAGATGCGTGATAGAAGAAGCTCTGAATGTGGCACATCGTCTTGGCAAACTTAAAACCTTGAGATTTAAATCATGAGATGGTCTCGTTGATCATGAGATTCATATCCCATACTGCTAGAGATTTAAACTAATTTTAATTAATAAAAAAATAGATAAATAGTCTCGTACCGGAAGGGATTGTAGGTGGGGGGAGTGAATGTACAGCGCACTTCAACTGTTTACCTATCCACCTTTTTCCTGAGTAACGGTTAAGGCTAGAAGGGATACATACCTGAGTAACCGATGAGCGCCGCCATGATGGATTCTAACTTCTGTTTGGGTGCTCTTGTGTTCCGGCCTCCATAGAAACCCATGTTAAAACGGTAAAAAAAGGTCAACGGAATTTATACTTTTTAAAATATAACTAAATATAAAAATGCGTGCCGGGTTAAGCTGTGCTGTTGTTGGCTGCCATAGCAACGGCTCTGCACGATGACAAAAGATAACGAGCATGGCTTGCAGCGTTACTGTGTGTGAAGTAATAAAACATTGTGTTAAAATAATGTATGCGCTTATCATTTTATAGATAAAATCCTGCAAACTTCGGCCTGATCGGAAGCTGTATGTGCGCTCACCTGTTTTCAATGCAGCTAACCACAGTATCCATCTGCAGACCCGCAGCACCGGCAGTTTCAGAACCGCAGCCACAGAACCGGAAATTAGGGGCGGAGTTATTGACAAAGAGATAAGCATAAGAGCTTCATGTCATCTTCCCACTCATTAAACTATGACGGGCAAGTTATTGCAACAAGACAGTCTTTGCCACAGTGTGAAGTGATGAAACTATGGCGCCATGTGCTTTTTAAAACCATTTTCATAGGTTTAACATTATATAATCGGCTCGGAAAATCTGTTAATTTGACTAGAAACGCCAGACACCATAAATGTAAAGCACTGTTCCGCGTTCAGAAAAAGATGGATAGGCAATATTGGGTTGATTTGGGACCCGGGTCAGTCTGCTAAGAGAAGCTGTCAATATCAGCTGTCTATCATGACGTCATACTCCCGTTTTTAAAGCATCACATAACTAACTAATACCAAATTTATTTAAAAACGAACAATTGAACTTACATCAGCATGATAAGAACTACATAAAATGACAAAAAAATCTTTGGAAAAATATTATTTGAAGTGAAATTTAATTGTTTAGTTTGTCTATATAATCGTACATAAAAACATATAATCAAATGTTTAAGAATACTTTAAAGTACTCACCTCTTTTTATTTCTTTTTGATTCATGCCAGGCTCCGAACCTTTGGCGAGTCTGAAAACGCGGTCCCGAGTTGGCTGGACGAAATGCATTTCTGATCTCATCTTCTACGCCTTCGTTATTTGCGGAAACATTAACGGTACTTCGCTGAACATTCAGTGTTGATGTGAGGGAAGGAATCGTGTTTGGTGATTGTAAAATATTGTTTAAAATATTAATAGCCTCAGACAACTCGTTTGGATTATCTGCCATTGCCAAACGATTTTGTGAGACACGTGCCGGCGCCAAATTAAACGGAAATGTGGACATGTTTTTGCCAAACGATTTTGTGAGACACACGCCAAACTAAACGGAAATGTGGACATGGCTTCTGTTTCAAGTGAAATTAGCTCTCATCAACTACTGAAATCTTCTCTCATTTCAGTTATGCGCATGAATGAATTTCACTAAGGTTTATCAATGTTTTTTATTTCACTAGTAAACACCCTCGTCGCTGTTCTCCGCTCTGTTCATTGACGACGTATCCTCTCACGGGGGTTTCTGGGATAGAAAAGTGTCCATCGATGAACACTTCAGAATCTGGGCTGAAGCAGTAAGGCATCCGGTGATTTCTCGCCTACTCTTTTATGAATACTGAGGTTTCAGACATACTACTCTCTTAATGTACTGTTTTCTCCTAGGTAAGTAGGCATATTCGAACGCAACTTAAGTATACGCACAACCGAATCTCGCGAGTATTTGTGCACCATGCAGGCAATTCTCGCCTACTCTTTTATGAATACTGAGGTTTCAGACATACTACTCTCTTAATGTACTGTTTTCTCCTAGGTAAGTAGGCATATTCGAACGCAACTTAAGTATACGCACGACCGAATCTCGCGAGAATTTGTGCACCATGCAGGCAATTCTCGCCTACTCTTTTATGAATACTAAGGATTCGGACATACTTTCGTTCACCTGTTTTGTAGGCTCCGTCAATCAGCTGTGGGTCATCTGTCAAACTATCAGGGACCTCTCGATATTATATAGCGTTTCCTCTCCTTCAAGACATTTCTTCCGTGAGCCTAATTCTTAATAACCACAATTAGCTCTGTTTTAGAACTGTTATGTTTTTTTGTTTTTATTTTGTCTTTAAGTATGTTTTCATGTCTATTAATGAGCAATGTTTTGAATCATTCTGTAAAAAGTTTGTTCAGTTTTTATGAAGTTTGCCTTTTTATATTATTACACTTTGCTAATAACATGTAAGTGCAGTGAAGGAAACTAATAAAAAGCTTACATAGCGACTCGAAAGCAAAAATCTACAAACAAGTTTGGAAGCAGGTAATGTAGACTAAAAATGTTCCGTACACAACGATGTTCCGTACAGATGATCTTTTACCACCGATCGCTGAATAAATACTTCCAGGTCATACATAAGCTATATATGTCTTAGTCCTGATTATTGGTATTTACCCCACCTGTCCTCCCTTGCTATTCTCCTAGTTTGCATCCTTGTTTATTCTGTTTGTATTTTTGGTCCTGTATCAGTTCGCCATTGTAAATGTATCCAGGCCTGAAGCAACGGATTAAACGGGCGCAGGACTAGCACTGGCGGTACTGTCAGCAACTCAAGGCATTTGATGCGCCACTGCAGTCAAGGTCCTGTCCAGGAGCCCAGGGCTGCATGCATGTTGCACAGGGCCTGAGCCCTCCATGACTTCGTGACCTCCTCATGCACCTCTGGGAAAAATGACACTGAGACAGGTTGCAGCTGCGAGTTGCGCCTCGCTCCCAGGAACCAATCGTCTAGCTGAAAACGCTCTGGGTTGGGTGGAGTCTTTCACTCAAGTCCAATGTTCTCGGCTGCCTGGGAAAGCATACAGTAGCAGACAGTTCAGAGTCAGACTCTGACTTTGCAGTCCTCCCAGAAGGAGGGAGTTCAGCAGAGTCCTTGTCCTCTGAAGCGCCTGATCCCTCCCAAGCTGCGGAGCCCCAAATGAAAATGTTGGACCCCTGCAAGATGGCCTGGCAATCTCCTTTGGGAGCTCAATGGCACGCAATGTTGTGGAGGAGTGGGAGGTCCGTGAGGACTGGCCTGGCAGAAGAGCTCCCACTGTAACCCCCAGATCTCCCTGAGTGCTAACTGCTTTCCAGAAGTCCCAGGTTGGGGAGCAGCTGAGGGGACCTCTTGAGTCGCAATCTCAAAGCTGCCACGGACATGCGCTCACAAATGAGGTCATGAACATTCTATGAACAAAGTATCAGCATGTTTACAGCCCAGACACGTGATATAAGGATCATGGCCATCAGAGGGGGTCAGGAAATGACCATGTCCAGAAACGCATGGACGAATACTTAAAGGGGTCCTATTATGCTCTTTTACAAAGTCTTGATTTTGTTTTTGGGGGTGTACTAGAACATGCTCTCATGCTTGGTGGTTCGAAAAACACATTATTTTTCACATTATTAAAATCCCTTCCCCCCACAACCATTCGAATTTCTGTAGGCGGGAATTATTTATAATGATATTCCAATGAGCCGCTTTGTGATATAACAAAGCCCGGAAACCAAATGCTGTAGTCCAAACGAGCCGTTCGTTGTAGTTCTTGAAAAGGGATTTTTAAAAAACTAAATATCTCCCTTTGGAGTGGACTTTGATATTTGTAACTTTCTAGATCTTTTTAATGCCCAAACATACACACTACACACTGACTAAAATTAAAAAAGTGAAAACGCATAATAGGACCCCTTTAACGGTGCTATTACCGGCGAAACACTGAATAAACATAAGTGTCCAGAGAAGAGAATTTCCCGCAGGTGATTGGAGAAAACAAGAAGCTCATGTAGCAGAAAACCACTCTTTTATCAAGGCAACAGAACTCTTCCTTGGAAACAGAGGTGACACTGCAGGAAAGCAAGGTAAATTAACTCAAGTGTTAATAGCAGATTCATGTCAGTACAAATGCAGAAGCCCTAAAGTGACAATAAATTGCATGACTTACTGTGATGACTCACATTAAAAAAAAAAAAAAAAAAAAAAAGATATACTCAAACTTTATAAAGTTTATTCAAAATGGGAGAGGTTTATTTTTGTTTGAGGAATTTACCTGCTAGATTCAATTAGTTTCTTGAAGACGTCCACCTGTATTTGCTTTTTAATCCGATTGACAGAGGCTTATGGTTTTGACAAAATATTTGAGCCATTGTTGGAGAATATCAGATTTCTCAAAACCAGAGGGATAGACGTTCACATAAATGGCTAAATTACATCTTTGTTTGGCACTGCTGGTAATCTGGCCTGCCATTCACTTGGAGGGTTTTTGGAGAGCTTCGCAAGCAACAAATTCTGTCATTTCTGTCTGATTGACACACACGACATGCAGTGTTTGGACTTGCTCGATGCAGTAAATTACAATGAACATGTCATGCAACAATCCTGCTTTAACAGGCATAAAAGCAGACTAAACTCTCTACAGTACTTTCACACTACTGATAATGTCTGTGTTGACATTATGCATGGCATTTTAGAGGGTGTGAAACTAATGTTTTAAATCATTTATTCTTTGAAGAAAAACTATGATTAATGATTAGCTTTGACTATGGTGTGGCAAATGAGAAAAACGAGCCTAGTGCCGTTCATAATTTAAGAACAGCAGAGAACCCCATGAAGCAAAATGCCAACCAAATGTGTCTCATCTTTTTTTTTTTTTTTTGGAAATTGGAAATTTTTATAAAATTGTTTAAGGCTCTATATCCAAACAAATCACTAATACCAAAGCATCATCTTATGATGATAAATGATTACGATAATGATTAAGAATTAGTTCCCTCGTTCTAGTAAATTATGGCCACATTACACTAATACGTTCCCTTGTTTTAATTAAGTCAAAATGAGGAAACAAATTAGTATGGTGTGGCAATGATTTACTATAACGAGGGAACTAATTAATAAGTCAAAGGAATAAATTTGTAATAAACTTGCTCGCTTGATTCAGCTACAGTTACATAACGATTTGCAAATCGAAGATTAATAACAATTTGCAATGAGCGACTTGATCTGACTGAGCAATCGTCACCTCTATATATACACTGAACAAAATTATAAACGCAACACTTTTGTTTTTGCCCCCATTTTTTGCCAAGACTTTTTCTATGTACACAAAAGGCCTATTTCTCTCAAATATTGTTCACAAATCTATCTAAATCTGTGTTAGTGAGCACTTCTCCTTTGCCGAGATAATCCATCCACCTCACAGGTGTGGCATATCAAGATGCTGATTAGACAGCATGATTATTGCACAGGTGTGCCTTAGGCTGGCCACAATAAAAGGCCACTCTAAAATGTGCAGTTTTATCACACAGCACAATGCCACAGATGTCGCAAGTTTTGAGGGAGCGTGCAATTGGCATGCAATTAAGTCCTTCTTGTAGTCATCTAAGCTCTTCTCACAATTCTGGCCATAGTATGGCATCTTACACTCGCACGCTGCCAGGAACATGCCTTTTATACGAACACAGCTGCCTTGCTTTTTCTTCTTACCACAGTCCAGCTTGGAGCAGGGATCGTTTGTCATTATTTCTTCATCACTTTTAATCAAAACTACAAACTTGCCTTTGAAATATGGAAATTTCTTACACTTGCCCTTATAAATGTACAGATCTGGACTGTCTTCGGGAGCAGCACTGACGTCATAGTCTTCATCTTGTTCTTTCTGTGCATTCTGGCTGTCGTGAGCGTCTCTTAAATAGGCGTGCACTGCTGTGTAAGTTTGAGACACTGGCTTACCTTTCACAAGTTCACTACATTTAGCGAGTTTCTCTGCTACCTTGTAACACAGGACTGACTCATCAATGCATCTGCCAATGGCTTGTTTGACCTTAAGTGCCAATGTGTGTTTCCCTTTCACCTGTCTGGCGACAGCCACAGTAACAATGCCTTCTTCCACCGGAGTAAATCCTGACAAGACGTGACTGTTCAGAAACTTAACTATTGTATGTTGAGATTTCTTGGTTATAAACGCAACAACCATCCAGTCGTACCTGTCGTACGTCTTCACCAGGAATGACCAGACTTCTTTTGCTAGATCTGAACGAGCTTTTTTTTGGTCAATGAGTGTTTTAACATCCTTTTTAACGTAGTCCATGCTGTTTTTAATGCACTGCATGTGGACTTGGAGCATAACTGATGATATGTTGTATGCAATGCTAGCCATCTCATCAGCCCTTGCATCAGACTCTATGTTCTTGAGTTTATAGTAGTATTCATTCATTGTATTGCCTTTGTAGATGAGTTTATAAATGAACACAGTGTATGCTCTCATATCCTTTTCATGACAGTTAACATGTTCAGCCAGTGCATCTCCCAGGGGATATCTAAAGCTCACTCCTTCCTTAACCAGCAATTTGTGTAATGTCTTAGTGGCAGTCTCATACTTTTCATAGGCTTTCCTAAAATCCTTCTTATGCCTCTCCATTTCTGCATCATCTTTTGCCTTCCAAAGACTCTGCAACATAGTTGTGTACTTATCCCACGCTAAGTCAATATGCTTCTCTGGCTTGTAATAAGCACCACTTGCCCAGCTGTTCCACTTCTGCTCTACATGATATTTGTCAAGCTTAGTATTAAGTTTTTCAAATTCACCCATGAGAAGGTCCATATCAGTGTATCCTTTTATTTCTGCCGCTGTTAATTTGACAAAGCTACTTATCAGTGGCCCACAAACTGGAATGAGTTCCAGAAAAGGGCAGACTACTGAAGTAATTGTGTCAATTCTGCTAAGAGCAAACTTGCGCAGTGCAGTAGCCCCTTCTTTGATTTTCTTTAAGTCCTCTGGAGACCGTTTCTGCAGCTGGATCTGTCCGGCAGACGCAGGGCCGATCGCGGTGGAGATGAGGAGGGCAGACGACACCAACAGCAGGAATGCGAGGCCAGCAGGAGACGCCATGACTGACAACAAACACAAGCATGTTAATCATGTATACAGTATATTACTACCAATCAACTCAAAGCAGTAGTAATACACTCTAAAAGAAAATTCACCCCAGCGCTGGTTTAATATTACACCAGCCTTGCGATGGGTTAAATTGCCTCGTGCTCAGCTAAAAAACAACAACAAAACCCTTATTAATATTAGCATAATAAATGTATAGAATAACTATGGTTCTTGTTATCAGCTTGCACGAGCAGCGATGCAAATGCATACACTCAAAAAAAGTTTGGTTACCCTTTATAATAATATTCAGTTATAAGCCATTTGCAAGCATTTACTTATGAACTAAGCATTTACTAAACATTAATGCACTATTTGTGTATGACTAATAAGTGATAAAATAATAAGTGACATGTCAGAATGGTTTAGTAAGTCATCTAAAAATGTCATGAAATGATCATAAATCATTAGTAAATGATTACTAATAAGTAATTAGCTGATATGTTATGAATCACTTATTTCACAAATGTGTTGCAGTATTGGTAGCTTAAAACACATTGGTTAATCATGAACAAATTATTAGTAAATGATCTGTATCTACAGTGGGTATAGAAAAGAATCAGCCCCCTTTAAAATAATCACGTTTTGTTGCTTTTCAGCCTGAAATGAAGACAGACACAGTTTTTGTTTTATCCAGCTGTATTTACTCAGTGCAACTTCTAACATCCAAGAGAAAGATAGAACACCAACATGTCAGAAAATAAAAAAAAACAGAATCACTGAGTTGGAAAAAGGATCAGCTCCTCCTAAAAATGGCTTGTAAACTCAGTCAGGTGTAGCTGATCACCTTCTCAATGGCACACAAAGCCATCTGACTTTCACCTGTGATCAGCTGTGCTCATTCTGATCAGCTCAGCATGAAAAGAGCTTTTCTGGAGCATTTCAGTCTTTGGTAGTGCAACTGAAGCAAACAATCAACTACGGGTGGCAAGACACTGTCAGAAGATCTCCGGGATAGAGTTGTGGACAGGCACAAGCCAGGAGATGGAGACAAAAATGTTTCAAATAGCAATGCCTAGAAGCACAGTGAAGTCTATTATGAAGTGGAAGGTGTTTGGTAAAACACAGAGCCTCTCTGGATCAGGACATCTCTCCAAACTGATGAAAGAGCCGGAGGAAACTGATCAGAGAGGAGACTAAAGAGACCTACAGCAACTCTGAAGCAGCTGTAGGAGTTTATGACAAAGAGTGCTCATTGTGTGCATGTGACAACAATATCACAGATTCTCCACAGATGTGGCTTGAATGGAAAAAAGCCGCTCCTCAAGAAAGGCCACATGCAATCAGACTGAGCTTTGCCAAAACACATCTTGAAGATTCTGAGGCAGATGAAACTAAAATGGAAGTATTTGGCCTCGACACCAAACGCTAAAATCCAATCCAGCTCAGCATCCAGATAACAGCATTCCTCCAGTAAAGCATGGAGGAGGTGATGTCCTGTTATGGGGTGTTTCTCTGCAGCAGGGACTGGAGCACTCGTCAAGACAGAAGGAAAAATGGATGAAATCTGCTGCCCTCTGCCAGAAAGCTGTCAATGGGAAGAAGGTTTAACTTCCATCATGACAATGAGCCAAAGCACACAGCAGAACTGACGCACAGTGTTTGAAGGAGAAAAAGCTGAATGTACTTGCATGGCCTCGTCAGAACCCAGACTGAAACCCCACTGAAAATCTGAAAAAGAGTGACTTGAAGACTGCAGTCTGCAAATATTGCAAAGTCTAGATGTGCAAAGTTAGGTCTGAGGGTGTTTTGGGGCCCTGGAGAAGTTTTGACATGTCCTGACATTTGTGCTTTTTTCTGTTGCTTATAAACATATAAATGGCTAAAGTCTAATAACACTGTAATCAGCACAAACTGGGCTACATTAATATGTGAGCAGCATGTATGTACATGATTGTGTTTGTGAGATTTTTTTTTTTAATCACTTGAATAAGGCCATAAAACACCTACAGAACATTTGTTCACAAGACTTTTGAGAACTGGATCTTGGAGCCTAGAGTTTTTGCTTCAAAATGATGTGAAAATCATCTTACTCACTCATGCACAGAAAACAATATATTGATTTATATTTTCTAAGACAAATTTCTTTTTGTGTAGAAAGGGCATATGCGAGGTGTGAATGATCATGAATAATGCTGCGATTCACACCGGAGAAGACGGGCCCACATAATGAGCTGCATAATGAGCCTTTCAGTCAGGTGTGTGACTGAGAGGGAATAGTTACCAGAAAGAATGTGAGGACAAAAGACATTTATATATTTTTTGTTTGTAGTTTATTTAGAATATATTCACCTATCACACAAAATAACTTGAGATTCACTTGTAAGTGCAGTTAAACCATTTATTAGGAACAAATAAACAACACAAGAGTCAAGACATTGTGGGTGCGATGTCCAAAATATCCAAAACAGTGGCAGGAAACTTGGACGCAGGAAAACGGGAGACAGCAGAAACTGCTCGAGAAAACAAATGGACGTGAGTAACTGATTGGACAAAGACAGAGCAAACATGGTGACAGTATATGTACAGGCTACATTAGCAGTCAAAAGTATTTAAACAGTAAGATTTGTCATTTTTAAACAAGTCTCTTCTGCTCACCAAGCCTGCATTTATTTGATCCAAAGTACAGCAAAAACAGTTTGAAATATATGTTGCGTTTGGTCTCCTACTCTATCGCATAACTTGTCAGTGTCGGCTGCTTGCTTAGACCTTTGTTGTGATAAACAGTAAAGTGTGTTCAGCTGAATTCAATTTCTGTTTTGTCCGACGGGTATAAAAAAGGTTAGTATACCGCGGCAGCCCTCCTGTTAAGCCCTCCTCGTGTGAAGACCGAAGAGTGTAAAGACCGTCGACTCTACCGTGTGACTCCACCGAGCAGGGACACCGGCAAAGGATATAAGGATCACTTTTGATTTTCCTACTACTTGTTTCACTTCTGTTTCAGTTTTTATAACCAAATCTTACTATGTGTTTCCAGATCCCTACCATCACTACCACTCGCAAACCACGTTTCACACACTTTAGGCAGCGCAATCCTAACAACCTGCGTACTTTGCCTATGTCTGCTAATACACTACTTTCTTTTTCTGTTGGTCTCTGGAATTGCCAGTTTGCTGTAAACAAAACTGACTTGTAATAGAAGTAATAAAATCTTTCAAGACTAAACCTCATGGCCCTGGCAGAGACGTGGATCAAACCAGAGGACAATGCTACACCTGCAGCACTCTCAAATAATTTATCTTTTTCCCACTCCCCCCGTCTGACTGGAAGAGGTGGAGGTACTGGTCTGCTTATCTCTAATGATTGGAAATTTA